AAAGGCTCTTGTTCTATACAAAATTGCAGTAGAAATTCTACTCTTTTTAGAAAATTACAAATATTATATATAAAAAGGCACAACAAAAAGAGACATTGAAACATTATGATAATCTGATAGTCAGACAAGAAATATGCTATAGTAGTTATTTGGATATAGTAGAGCCTGATCATCATTTAAAAAAAAAAACTCAAAGCAAATTTTGATAAATCATTAACATATAGTGATAAAAAGTTTTCTCCTAATAATGGTCTTGTATTTGCAGACCAGATTCAAATTCTGACAAAAGTTCTTTATAAATACTAGTATTATAGATCTGGTTTTATTAAACTTAATATAGTTTATTTTCAATTAATAATAGAAAATGCTAATTCGTATTTGTGTAGTTTTTTTGATCAAATAGTTAAGGCTTTAATCTCTAATGAAAGATCCTTCTATAAAAAACAAGAAGCAAGAAAAACTATAGTTAGTTTTTGTTACATGATGGCAAATGTAAGAAATATGTTCGTTAATAGTTTTGAACTAGAGGTTGGCCTATATCTTTTAGCATTTGAAATATCTTCTACAGCTATTGATATATTGTATAGCTTAGATGTTTCAGTATATAATAAAATGATCTATAATTATAAAAAAAAACTGGTTCAAGATCATTCTCAAAATATTCAAAAATTTTTTATAAATAATATATTTTTTTTATTTTATTATATTCTTTTTTTTTTAATATTAAATAAAATTAATATTTTAATTTTTTATTTATTATTTATTTAGACCAATATTTTATATGTTTACAATTTGGACGACTATTACAATATTCATGAGGAAAGATGTTCTAATTTGACAACATTATCAATAGCTATAAATTTTGTGACATGTATTTGTAAACTAGCAAAATTATGTACATCAATTCTTCTTATCTTCAATAACATAAATATTTATAATCCATTGAATATTGATACAAGTAATATATGTTTTAGGTTAATAAATCAGTATAATAGAATTTTTGATATTTCTTATAGAACATGAAAGTTATAGTGAACTAAGTTTGGAGGTCTAAAAGTAAACTTTAATAAGATAGAATTGCTAACAGTTTAAATTTATGATGATACAATAAATAAACAAAAGGAAAAGTGATCTACTAAAAATATATGACTAATTAGATTTCAAAAAAAAAAAATTATATTCAATACATGATTATATCAATGCACTTCAAATGGTGTTAAAATTGATAAGAATACTAGACGTTTATACAATTATATAGTACCTATCATAGTAGACTAGCCATGCCAGATATTTATTTGTAAAGCAGTTACAAATTTAAATAAATCTTTATATAATATTCCTTATGAAATCTGTTTATTTGTTTTACTGTTAGGGCCATTACATGTTTTTCTAAATAGTCATGAGTAGGTTATTATCAAATATTATTTTTTTTTTAAAAAATTATTTCACTATGTTTTCAGTAATAAAAAAAAGTTAGCTAAGAAGTCTAAACTGTGACAAATCAATTTATTATTAGAGTTAGCATATAGTGAATAGTGTAAAATTAGAGAAAAAATTATTATAAAATTTGAATCGAATTGTAAAGATTTTTTTTTTTTTTTTTTTCTTAGGTGATCTTGCCTTTCATTTATTAAGAGAAAACATAAAATATGTTACAGCAAAATTATAAACT